TACTTCCCCATGCCTGTAATTCTTACTTTCCCATGTAATCTGTGTCCTTCTACCCAATATAAGCAGCTGGATTATGGGTAGGGGAGCAGATTTCTGTGGATGACCTGCCACTCTCCCGTACTGCTGGCAGGATTGGAATAAACGCTCATATAGGATTCAACCTGGGAGCAGATTTCTGTGGATGACCTGCCGCTCTCCCGTACTGCCGGCAGGATTGGAATAAACGCTCATATAGGATTCAACCTTGTCTCTGCTCAGTTGGCTCAAGTAGTGACAGGCAGCACGGACCCATGGTTGTCGGGTTTCATGAGCTGAATTGCCTGTTAGGTTGAGATAGTTCCCGTTAGCACAGAGAGATGGCTTCCTCCCTCCCTCTTGCCTGCCTTCTCTCTCTCTCTCTCTCTCTCTCTCAATCTCTCTCTCTCCCCTCTAAGGAAGAATCCTTCCCTGTCTTTCCAGCTCCAATCATTCCTTGCCTTGTGGCCCCATCACTTCCATCTCTGCCTCTGTCTTCACATGGCCTCCTGTGCTGTGTCCTGCCTTCTCCCCTTCTCTTTTTTACAAGTCCATGTGCCATAGGACTTAGGTACTGCCAGCCCAGGGAGGGATGCAGCGGTTAATCCAGGATGATCTCATCTCAAGATCTTTAATTATACCCGTAAAGACCCTTTCCCCAAGTAAGGACACAACAATAGGTGTCAGGGGTTGGGATCTTTTTTGGGGCCACCATTCAATCCACTACACAGGACTAATCAGATGACCTCATTACAGCAGCCACATTCCCAGTCCTGGTCTTGTCACCCAGCTTAGTCTGAGGGGGGTCTGGAGAGCCTTGAGGTCTCCTCCTCTTTTTGACTATAGACGGTTGAGGGACCACCTCTCTGCCTTCCCTTCTGTGCTTGAGGGGGCTTCCCTCCCCACCATCCTGCCCTCCGTGGGTTCCCGGTGAGAGGAAGCCTGCCTCCTTCCGTGTTCCCTGGGGCCTCTTAGGATGGTTGAAGGCCCCTAAAGAACCCCTGCTTTTTGGAGATACTACCCTGGAGTGCACCAAGCATGTTAAAACACTCTCTCGTGCCACATCCAGTCCTTCCCTCCTCCCATAAAAATAATCAGATTTTAATAATTTCGCTTTTGAAATGATTTGGCTCTAAGCTTGTTTAATTTACGATTGGCTGGGTTTCCTGGCCATTATTATGCATAGTAAGGAGTTCTCTCGAAGTGAGAAAAGCTAAGCCTCAGATTGTTTTCCGAACATAATTAAATTTTTATGAATACCAAAGTCAACAATTAACAAGGTTTAATAGGCATTGAGTTAAACATTTATTAATTTAAATTGGTACAGCTTTTTTTTTAGTCCAAGATACAATATTTTTCATTGTTTTAATCATTTCATAGGCCCCCTGGAAAACCGGAAACCTCAGGTACTGGCCGGCTGGTTTCTGATTCCTGAGGGGACCCTGCTTTCTTCCTTGCCTAGTCGCTCCTTCCCACTAGGAACTGGGATTCCTCCTTCCCAAATCCTAGGCTCCGCCAGCAGGTGTCTGCTGTGTCCCTCCCGGGGCCGGCAGTACCAAAATCTGCAGACTGGGTAGCTTATACACAACAGAACTTTCTCATGGCAGCCACAGCTGACCAGCACAGCCGGTCTGGCTCTCTCCCAGGTCTGACGGTCACCACGCCATCATCCGGACGCAGTATATGGATGTGGTGCCATCATCATTGTGAGTGACTGGGCAAGGGGCCTGCTCCTATTGGCCCCTCCGGTCATGGCCACTGTGACCAGGGGCCATACTTCTGCCCACGTTACCCACTGGCAGGGTCGTCAGAGAAAACACAGGATGTCACGCTCAATCCGAATTTCTCATGAACAGCAAATATGACATGTTTTTTAGCACAGTGTGTCCCAGATACTGCACAGCACACACTGACACGAAAACATTGTTTGTTGTTGATCTGAAATGCAAATTTAACCAAGCATCCTGTTTTAATTTTTGGCTAAATCCAGCAGCGGTGCCCTTTGGTCTTTTTATAGAAGGCTCAGAGAGCAACGCTCTTGACCTGGAGCCCTGGTTCTCAGAGTGACCCTAGTTCGGACCAGAAAGTCTCGGGCTGCACCCACACTTCCAGAACCGGAACCTCTCAGGGTGCTAGCTTTCTGTGTGTTTGTTCTTTTTTTAATGTCTTTTTATTGATTTCAGAGAGGAAGGGAGAGGGAGAGAGAGAGAGAAAAACATCAATGATGAGAGAGAATCATTGATCAGCTCCCTCCTGCAAGCCCCCTACTGGGGATCAAGCCCACAACTGGGGTATGGGCCCTGACCGGGAATCTAACTGTGACCTCCTGGTTCATAGGTCGATGCTCAACCACTGAGCCATGCCGGTGGGGCTAGCTTTCTGCATTTTGACATCGCTCCTGGTGACTCTGCTGGAAGCTGTGGTTTGAGGGCCAGGGGCCTAGAGAATGATGCTGATGGTGGGAGATTCC